GTCCGGGTGGGTTTAACAACTATGGTTGGAGGTCCTGTGCATTATCGTTGGATATATCATTTTTGAGAGGTACCACACGCTTCTAATTTATATTCTAAAGACTAAATGATATTGATTTCATGTATCACAGTTCCTACACCACTTAAAAAAGAAGGTGAAAAATTGGGCTCATGTTGAGGCATCTATCGTGGAGGCATACTTGGTAGAGGAAACATCAACTTTTTGCTCTTTGTACTTTGATTAAAATTTTCAAACAAGATTGAATCGTGTGTGAGGAATGATGATGGAGGTCTTATTAATGCCCTAGGGAGACTATCAATTTTTACCACCATAGATGACCCTTTGGCATTCACTGTCATAATATCATATTAATGACGAATAAGTTCAATGTATGTGTTCTAGAATTGCGAGGAAGTAAATCCTTTTGTGGCATAAGTTGTTATAATTACAATTCTAATATATATTGAATTTTATGGTTTGTTATCTGCATTTACAGTTTCTCACATGTAGGGAGTTATGAGAATATTGTATTCCCAAATGTGTGATGCACAATTTGATGGTTTAAGGGAAGAAATTTGTGTGTTGGTTGATGGAATATGTAAATGATTTTTGTAAATAATGACACGACCCGTCCCGAATTACCCTAGTGGACCCGAAACGTGACGTGCGCCGATGATAAATGCTGACTAGATGTCAAATCTATCACCAAGGCTAACTATGAGTTATTTAAAAAAATGCGCCAAAACCAAATATTTATATAAAACATAATGCGTGGCCCCAAATTATTTACTTCGTGCTTCATCAATATAAATTATAACACTCAACATGTCGTGTGGCTCTTATTCCGAAATCATTAGGCTCTTCCAGCTAAGAAGGATCAATTTCTACTTGTAGAAAAAATCGTGGAAAAATATATGAGTTGATAACTCAGTGAGTGGAGTAGTTCGAAAATAATTATACTTTTTCAATTTTACATTTCTATCGAAAATGGAGTTCATATCATTTAATAATTCACAAGATAACATCTTGTAATTATAACCAAAAGTGAAATATTCACATAAGGTCATAAAATATCATCTCAAAATTATAATATGAATATCAGTTGATAACCATGTTATAATCTCATAACATCAAACATGCTAAACAATCCACTAAAAATATACTCTCTGACTAAAATATATAATCTGCCCCTCGGGCTAAAAACTTTCGCCACAGACCTTTGGCCCCTCCGTGAACGAAAGTCGATCTCAAAAACCTCTCATAATCAATTCTAAAACACGACCAAGGCCTCTTTGTGGACTATATGTATATGATCAAGACCAATGTTAGGTCAAGACCCTCCATGTAGGATAGAACACGGCCAAAACCTCTCTGTGAACTAGAGGAAGTATATAATCATGGGTATTTTTCTGGCCGATCTCAATATTGCATATCTCACATACCAAACAAATCTCAATATCACATGTCTTACATACCAAGTCACAACTATGCCATAAATAATCTTTGATATTTCACATGTATCCTAATAAAAGAGATTTCCATAATAACCACGTAATTCAAATACATAATTGCATATAATTGCACATACTTTAACAATATACTTAATTTATAAATACTTTAAAAATATTTATATTTTTCCATTCACAGTACTATGTTCAAAAAATTAACTCGTTGGTAAGCTGTTTCGATGTCAATATCGCCGCTTGAAATATGATATAATTTTTAAATCAACAATTAATTATTTTAAGAAATTTCAATAATTAAATAGGCAATGTCCAAACTTAATCATTTCACGTTTGGACAATTTCTACAGTCTCTTTAATAACTAAAACTAGCTTTTCTTTCATCTTACTCAATTTCATAGTTTATTACACTTAACCCCTTCAATAAAATTGAATTTAATCTAACAATTTAACAATTATAAAATCAAAGATAACTTGATAATAAGTAACTTTTTACTTACCTTTCAAAATTGAGGAATTCAAACATAATAATGTAGACCACTTAATTCCTAACACGTTGGCAAAAAATTTCTATTTTTTTTCTTCTTCTTCTTCTCTCCCTGCACGTTTTTTTTTTTCACTGTATGTGTTTTAATGTGGATAATGGATTTTTATTTGCTCCACTGCCTCATTCCTTTTTTTTTTTTATTTTTATTTTTTTATTTTTATTTATGACATCTTTGACTTTTCTTTTTTGTATTTTTTTTATTAAGGTATTACAAATAATATCTCAGTTACCCCCACAAAGTATTTTGTAAAATGAGTTCTAATGCATATCATTTCTTCTGTTCACATTTTGAACGATCATAATAAAGTTGACAATCGCATAAAAGGCTTTGGCTATGGGCCCCTCTCGTATGAAGAATTGTTATAATGGATATTTTGTTAATGATTTTAAGTTACACACTTGTAGATTATGGTTCCCACAAAAAAACAATGAATAGTGGCGTGTCGGTACTAGGAAGTTTTTATAATAACTATGAGTGTGACTATTATGGTATGTTAACGACATACTGGAATTGGATTATTTAGGAGATGTTGGAAAAAAGGTAACATTATTCAAGTGTGATTGGTTTGACATCAATGGTGGAGCTGGAGTCCATTGACAATTCGGTCTTGTCGAGCTTAATCATAAGAAGAAACTATAAACAAATGATATGTTTATACTTGCTCAACAAGCTCAACAAGTATATTACTCATGTTTTCCAACGAAGCTAGAGATAGACTTGATTGGCTGGCAACTCTCTAACCAAAAGCAAGAAATGTTCCTAACATACAATGAATCATATCAGAAAATGAAGTGTGTAATGTGCGGGTGGAACTTGCATTCCAAGAGAATCAACCACCATCTACCCAATAACATATTTGAATAACTTCAAAGTTTAATCGCCAAAATTTAGTTTGTACTGATGTTGGGGATGAAGAAGTAGATGGGACTGAATCTAGGATGTTCAAAATAGATTCTAAAAGGCCTGATGTAGAAGAAAATACAGAACCAGATGACGTTGACAGTAGTGATGGTTTCACAACAGGTGCTAATGAAGGAGAAAAATGTTCTATTATTATTCTAGTCATTTTTAGTTTATTATTCTTCTCGTTGTTCATATTTTCAAGCGCTAAATGTAAGAAAACAATTGACCCGTATATGGAAAAGGGAATAGCTTCCAGACTGGATGAGGAAACTACAGAACTTGGATCTAGAGATATTACAACAACTAAAGCCATGTTTGCAATCTGAAAGTGCTGAGTGTTGTCCTGAACTCATGTTGGACATAATTTAGTTTTATTTCTCTGCTACTGGTTTTGTACTTATGTGAACTTCAGTTGAATCAAATATTATATTCCTCTTTCATGTTATTTCTTAGAAATTCGGTTGAAGGTGAAGGATGATAACATTAAAATTTCTGAGTTTGAAATTTTTTTTGTGCCCTTACCTTAGATATTATATAAAACATTATTTGGAATTCATTATGTTCAATATAGAACAGGTTTAGAGCTGTAATTTTGTTCTATGATAGGTATTTATGGAATTCATCACCAAAATTGAGATAAAAGTGATTAGATTTAAATTTTCATTTTCCAATCATCCAGAATTTGACTGATTTAATATCTTATTCTTACATTTCATTGCTGTAATTCAATTCTATTTTATTCAGTACTACATGACTGTAGCTGCTCATTGATAAATCTAAGTATGCCAACCCTTACTATACACACTTCTTGCCCTGTTGCTTAGATTTCATTAATGTTAAACCATCAATTCCTTCAATGAAGTTTCCGCGAAAACTAATAGTAAAAAGATTTCTTAAGCAGAGGATACTTTTTTTCTTATTAAAATTAAGTAGTTTCTGATTCGATGTTCTCATATAAATGGCCTGTATTTATTCCATGAAGAGAGGAAGTAGACCTCTAATCGAGAAATCATTATAAGAGGATCGAACTGACTCTTTTTCAAATTCGATAAATGTCGATCATTTATTCAGCATCAAAGACATTCGGAATTTCATCTCTGAACTCTATGTATTCCCTCCACTTATGAAAGGTCAAGCCGACACAATAGGCATTGCGATACGAAGAGCGTTATTTGGAGAAATAGAAGGAACATGTATCACACGTGTAAAATCTGAGAACGTCCCACATGAATATTCTATCATAGCGGGTATTCAAGAGTCGGTCCATGAAATTTTAATGAATTTAGATCATGTATTGAATATAGAATGTCAAATAAGAGTTTTCACGAGTAATATAATATATTAAAAACAAAAAAAAAAGGGTAAAATCTGCCCAACCAGACTGACCGCGAGTGTCTACCCACGGCAAACGGGGAACAAATGTGGCCGTGGGTATGATGTGGTTTGCAAAGCTGCGGCTGCAAATATTTTTTTGTCCTCAACTTTCAAATCTTTCAATTCGTTCTCCGAACTCTTATTTCATTCCTTCCACGTCCTTCTAGTATTGTAAAATACGTCATTTTCCTTGATTTCTTTTTAGTTTGCCCCTCATCATTCTCAATTCATAATGTCTTGTTCTGATGCAAGTTTCGAAAGTTTATGATTAGTCCCCAAAATTTTCAATTGTCAACTTTGCCTCCCTAAACTCATGATCTCATCATATTTCTCCAATATTTCTTTCAATTGATTGATTGCAACCCGAATGATCTTCAAGCGTCCTGAATCTATATCTAATTAAGCTCAAGACCGCCTTATCTGTTTTCGGAGAATTTTAGGTCATATTTGAGTGCAATCGGTCGAACGAGCAAAAATCTTTTATCTGAAGATACAATGCTTTTTAGTGACTTTCTAAGTTTCTGAAAAAAGAATTCAATTCATAATTAGGACCAAATCTTTTTAATTACTTTCTGATCATTCCAATTCTCTTATTACATGAGAATTTTATTTATTTATTTATTTTTTCATATTTTATGAAGAATTAGAATATTTGCATAGAAATTCAAATTCTTACAATACCTTAATTTAATTAAAATATTTATAACAGAAGGAAAGGAACTTATTGGCTTCCTCCATTGATCATTATGATCGTCATACAAATGCTTAAAAATAGAGACAAGATTTGCTATGATTTGAAAATTTCTACTACATATTATCACCTAGTTTTGAGTAAACATTGCATTTTTATTCATGTTGCTAGCTAAGAGCTTCCAGAATATAATACGACGACAGTAGTAAAGTTGATCATTACAAGTGTAATGGCACATCAGTGGAACGTTAGACTCTTCATCCTGCATGGAACAATTATAAAGAAGAGTTAGAGAAGAAAAATAAAAGCTAAAACTTATTCATTTTAGTCTTCAATATCATCTAACACTATGTACGAAAGATGCACATACAAATTGATTTTTATTTTGAGAAATAGAGCATACGGTAGGAAAGTTTTGTAAGGATTAGTAAGCTATTTTCTCCTCATACACCTTATATTTTCTAATGAGTGGAAAAATATTCAAGTTGAGATTGTGTTAAACATGTGTCCTATGATTCGCCCTTGCTCGGTGAGATGTAGATGCATGTTCTCATACACCGACCATGATGGTGATGCAGGTTTATGTTATCCAACATGCATTAGGAAAAGTGAGAGGATTGGTGGTACTTAGCCAAACTGATCATCGAAGAAAATGCCTTAAAATAGAAACAAATCCATGATGACTGACGATTGTATGATGGATTTTGAAGTGTCTGTGGTGTTTCGAAGGGGTGGGTTGGGGGTGGTGTATGCTGTATACCTCCCCTGTTACAGGCGGCCAGAGAAGTTCTGCGGTAGGGGAAGGGCACTTGGCCACTCTCAATGTATGTGACATCTTCCACAAGAATTTCATAACGCCTCTTCACCTCTTCTGGGGTTTTCCCTCCGACAGCCCTTGCAACTTTGGCCCAACGGTCGGGTGTGTCAGTATCATAAACGGCCAGAGCTTTCTCGAACTCCTTGTTCTCCTGGACAGTCCAAGTGCCTGAGGCACGGGAAGACATCGAGCTAGACGCCATTAACTTCTTGTACAGATTAAGTCTAGGAAGTTATAGAGTAACTGGATGGAGCACTACTGTTGAATGCTTACTCTAGAAAATGGGATGAAAATGGAAGAACGTATAAATGTGGGACCAAATAATTCTAGGATGGATTATTCGTCTTCGACTCAACTGAGAAGACACCCAAGTGAAGAGTGATGAGAAACTGAAGAGCTGATATGCGTAGAAGTGGTGGCAACTGCTTGAGCTTTAATAGGCCGTAGGAGTTAAGGGGGTGGGGTCATGCCAGTTGGCCTATAAACTCGCAAAAATTGAAGAATTTTAGTGATTCGTCTCATCAAGAATCACAGCCGAAGCAGGACAAAAGAAAAATATTACAACTTTGAAGAATCTCCATCTTCATGATAAGGTTGTTTATATTTCCATTTTTTGCATAAATTTTACTTTCTCTTACAGTTTAGTGTCAAAATCATATGATGTTTTTTCATTCATATAAACATTAGAAGATGTTAGGCATACCTAAAAGTGACATTTTTGCCTTTTCTTGACTGCGTTTATGTACACCAGTAAGATGACAAGTATATTCTATGATCATTAACACAAAATCAATCATATTTTAAGTTGTGGATTGCCTTGTTTTGAATGTAAAGTCAGCTTATCCATAGTTGTTCACATGGTTGATTTATCCTCGTATAATTGCAACATGTAAAGGTAATCAAGAAGAGAGACCTTATTAAGATGGAACGGGCATGGCCAATGGGTCCAGAGCAAAGAAAATATCTGGCAGACTGGACTTAGCCTGGCCTGCCTCAGTCCCCGGACCTTGTATGACCATCGGACCTCTCCCAAACACGGCCGAGCCATTTGACACCCATAAGTCCCTAATATCAAGCCTATTACCTTCCTAGTATAGAAAATATCTATTCTATTCCTATCAAGAATTGTATTTACCCTATCAAATTCTGTTTAAATTGCTGTCTTCAAAATGATCAACCCTGAATCTTGCTAAAACAATTTTAAAGAATCGGTCATGGGCAACTGAAATGCAATTGTAGAATCTTATTATAATTATATTTTTTTTTAAATTTGTGGGCTGGGATCCAGTATGAAATTACATTTGTCTAGTTTGGTTGATTCATTTTTTCCTACATGTGATGCTTGGCATATAATCTTCTGTAGAGATCATGAAAAAGATAAAGTGTTTCGATAAATAAAAGGAAAAATATAAATAATATATACAATATTATTATCTATGATCAGGGTCGTCGATCCTGAGATTTTTGGAGTCTTAAGCCAAATTTTATATGGATATTCTTTGAAAAAAAATTACTTGCAATGAAGAAAAATAATTTTTTATAATAAATAAAAACATTCAAAGTTTCATTACTAATAATTGCATGTATGATTCATGATTTCTAAGGTTGCGCCGATCATTTATTTTACGGGCTTCTCAGTGACTTCATCCAAAATTATATTATAAAATATTTTGACCTACCTTCAGAAAAAAGGGTCTTATTTTTTTTGGAGGCCCGAGGTTGCTCATGTCTATGATACATTGGTGTTGGACATCATGGAGTCTAATCATACTATAAACTTATTCTTTCGACTAAACATCAGGATTGTATGAGTTTAGGTGCATTTTAGGTTTATCAATTTATTGAATATTTTATTCATGTGTGTGTTTGCCCTAGTGCTTCTACACTATAAACGATTTGGGAGAGGAAGCGTGTTGTGCTATATATCGCTAGCCTTTTCAGTGTCCTTCTCTAGAAGTAGAACCTTTACGGTAACATGACGTGGTTAAGTTAATTCAAGAATTAGGGGGAGCTTTTATTTTTTTAATTTTTTCCCCTCTAACAAAGACTGAGATCTTCTTTATATTTAAAAAGTACCATATTGACTGGAATAGCTCTAAGATTGAGGATGAACTACTATTAGTTTATAGATTCTTGTGTGTGTTTATTTTCTGATTTTGTTTTGCCTAACATTGATCCCATAATCAGGATTAAGGCTTAATCCCTCCAAGAATATTTGAATGTCCAAAAGAGAGCACATTTTATTGGTCCAACTTAAATATCTGCATAGTAAAAAGCTAAGTTTAGGAAGCAACATTGTTCAAAGGCTGAAGTTGAAAATGCCAAATGAGATTATTGCAGCAAGTGGAATAGAGTAGCCCCAACCTATATATGGTCCTGACCCAATGTCGGTCGAAAATCTTGCAAGATAACATGAAGATCTGTATATTTCCCACTCAGAATATTACAAACAATTAGGAAAAGACATATTTTGACTCAAAACATTGCTATTAAATAACTGTTAGAGATGAATTTGCAATACTCTTTTTCGTGCTTGATGCATACAGTGATGACACCGAAAGGGTTCATGAAAGGGATCATGACTCATGAACCCTTTCAGTTTCCCCGTTCTCAGTTCTTCTTCATTTTTCTAAAAGAGAATACTAGATGTGAGTGATTTCCACCATTACACAAGCTGATTTACATCTATTGATCTTTTCTAGAATCCCAAAACTACCTCCCAAAATGATAATTTTTCATCAAGAAGCCTCCTCAATGAATAACTAAGATTAAACACTTTAATGGTGTGTTTGTTATGTTGGTCTGTTTGATTTGATATGATTTAAGAAAAAATTTAAAATCTTTTGTTACATCGAGGAAAAGACTTACATTTGAACTCAAAACATTGTAATTACTACTTAGATATGAAGATTTTTACAATAAAACTGGCTACTCTTTTCACGCTTGATTCATAGAAAATATGAAAAGATGGAAATAGGTTGTGAACATTGAATGTTGAGAATCTGGGCCTATTTCGATATTTCTCAAAGTGAACCTTGATAATGATTGTGCAAATAAGTCAAGAGTCCCAACACTTTATACAAGTTACCTTCATTGATTTACATGTATGGATCATTTCTAGAATCAATAAAACTACTTCCCAAGATATAGGCTCGTTGAGAATTCTTCAATTTACAAGGGTATAACTGACAATAAGCATAGCATGTAGAGGAATCTGTGCATGGAAAAAAGAAGCATTGAGAATTTATATATGCCTTGTTCTTGCTAGATTAATGGAATCCTTATCATTGAAAAAATCTTGCATCTGTATATATGTAGGGTGGTCCTTCTCATGAATTGGGTCCAAGCTTAGAGCTTCTTTGAATAATCTGAAGAGCAATATTTTTGCGATATTTGTAACTAAATACTATCATGTCATGATTATTTCACTCGTGATTAGGCATGTAAAATGACTTTGCACGTCTGCTTGTCGAGACCGAGATGACCCATTCATGGCCTGGGATTTGAACTGGCCTTGTAAGCCCGGTTTTCCACTTTTTCCACGACTGATCTTGACCCTCTGTCTGGATTGTGCATTGTCCTATCAACTTCACTTGTGATTATTGTGCATTGAACTATAGTATTGCTCTATCTGAGGAGTTCATTCCCCCCCCCCCCCCAAGTTGAAATTATATTCTAATGAAGGATTTTTAAGGTCGTCCAGAAATTAAAAGATGATTGATATTGTATTGATCGTAGTATCTACTTATAATTCTGATGCCCCATATATATGTGATTAATTTTCTCATTTTTATTCACGAGTTATATGTTGGAGAAAGTAGCTTAAAAGTGACTTTTAAGCACAATTGTTGCTTTTTAATGTTTATATAAATCAAGAAGAATCATATGATTATGAAACTAAACTGAAAGAAAACAAGTGAATTTTATTCAAAAAAAATGCAAATTGAATCAACCTTTTCATGAAGATGAAGATTTTTCGATGTTGTACTGTTGTTCCTTGACCTGCTTTAGTTTTGGTTCTTAACGAGACAAATCACAAAAGTTCTTCAAGTTTTGCAACTTTTTAATAGGCCAATTCGCTTGATCCCACACCACCCCACCCTCGGTTCCTGGAGCTTATAGAGATCACTCAGTTGCCACCTGTTCTGGACATATCAACTCGCCACCTCTTTTGGACATATCAACTCCCGATCAGTTTCTCATCAGCCTTGAATTCAGTCTTCTCTCTCCAGTCTAAGACAAATAATCCCACTTAGAATTACTTGTTCCTCACATATATACATTCTTCCATGTCCTCACATTTTCTATAGTAATATTCGGTTGTTTAATTCCCTTGGTGTATGACTTCTGTTCCCTAACTTTATTTGTAACTAGCAAGAAATTAATGGCATCTAGCTCGATATCATCCCATGGAACTTGGAATGCTCAGGAGAACAAGGCCTTTGAGAATCCCCTAGCCGTGTATGACACTGACCCGCCTGAACGTTGAGCCAAAGTTGCATGGGCAGTTGGAGGGAAAACTCCAGAAGTGGCAAAAAGGCATTATGATTCTTGTGGAAGATAAGGGTCCCCGGTGAGATGAGGAACAGAGGTTAATACATCCCACAAGACTTTCCACATACCAAATTAGTGAAAAGTAAATAGTCATCATGAGCCACCTCCTATTTTGTGCTTCTCTTTCTTGTTTTGTATTGCTTTCATTCTAGTTTGGTTGCATGTCGAAGAACTTACACATCATGATTCATCACTATCATGGTCGGCACAAGGGCACTACGTCTACATCTCTCCTGCATGGAAGAGTGATGAGACATATGTTCAACACAATCGATCAGCTTGTACATTTACCACTCACTGTGTATAAATGTAAAGTACACAATGGAATCATTCCCGAGAAGATAGCTTCATTCGTCACCACCAAACCTTGTCCTGAGTATTATATAATCTTCTTGCTAAACACGCCACAATATATTTGGTATGCTTACTTTTCTTCTTGATTATGGTTTTGTGCGGGATGAAATTTCTAAAGTTCCACAGAAGCATCGTAACAATCAACTTATGAACGTCCTTTTGTATTCCTTCTGGAAGCTCATAACAGCATGAAATAAAAAGACATAGTTTACCTAAAACTAGGTGATGATATGCATTAGAAATTTTAGAATCAGAGAATGTTTCTTTCCCTTGTCATTCTAGTTTCAACTTGTAAGCATATGTATGATGATCAATGGAGGAAGCTTATGAATTCCATGCCTTCTCTAATAAATCTTCAAACAGTGCAATTTTCGCTCCTCTTTTAACATAGATATTATGCGTCTCAACTCCTAAATTTGTTCTATGTTTATCCTGTCTTCAGAAAGGTTTTTTATAAACAAAGTTGTGTCGTTTACAAAATAAATT